CATATACGAAGTTTCAAAAAAAAAAAAAAAAAAAGGGGGATGGAGTCCGATGAACATATTTTTTTACTGATTTTTTTTCAGAATTTCGATTTTTTTTTTTAACTTCATCAAAAATTAAAAAATCCGAAAAAAACCGTATGTTGTACGAATTTGTAATGCAAGCAACTCGTTTTTTTTTTTTTTTTTTTTTTTTTTAGCAGTCCCCCATCAGTATTAGTGGTGCTGATACGAGCAGACACCACTAGCACGTGGGGAGAGAGGCTCCATCTATTGGTGGGGGAGCGTCACCTGCTGGAAAGCGCCGGGTCCAGCATCCTTCATACAGATTGAAATCAGAGTACATCAGGAAGCAGTTGTGGAATGATCCTGCCAGCATCGATGATCCTGAGAACCAGGGGTGACTGAGCAGTATACTGGGGGAAAGGGGAACCTCTTAGACGCCGAAATCGGCGGCAAATACACCGTTACGTGCTCTAGTACCTCCCGTCCCCTAAATCCTGCTGAGTCAATGCTAGCTGGAAACCGGGTCCAGCGTCGCATTACCTGCGTGGGTGCCATGCAGGAGAAGAAGGAAGGAGCCACTGGGGGGCACCAGTGGAACCTCCTTCTGTCCCCCTGCCCACCTCATCTTTCTAAAGCATCTAAGACATCTCTTACATCTCTTACATCTCTTTTTAGGTTAAGTACTCCGTCAAGTAGAGAGCATAAGGAGAAAAGGGGTCTGGGAAGTCTGAGGGGGGAGCGCAGAGGGAACGAGGCTTCCACGTGGATCCAATCTTTGAACACCAGCGTGTCATCCCTTAAATCCCTGTCCCCTTCACAAGTGGCCTTCGCTACCCATCCGTCCCTTTCTCCGCCCCGTCCCCTTCCCAAGTGAGACCTTCGCTACCCATCCTTCCCTTTCTCCGCCCAACCAATCCATGCAAAGTACTGCACTCACTCTCCTAATGTCGTTGGTTTGTGTGAAACGTTCGAGTTGTGATCTCGTGTCAGGCCATCTTCTTAAGCAATGCAAACAACTTAATTCTACTAGGACTCGCAACCCTGAGGATTGGTCCCCGCTACTAAACAATCTATCTATATATATTATTCCAAATCCTACGAAAAACAGCACTTTGGGCTATCTGGAGAACTACAAAAAGCAGCACTTTGGGCTATCTGGAGAAACCTGGCGAGAAAACAATTGACAAACAACCAATGCACATCCAGGAAGCATGGGGCATCTTCAGGCACAACATGTAGAAACAGAAGACTGGGTCGTATGGCACAAAGTCAGGAGAAGGATGAGAGCGAATGAGCTGAAAGCCAAGGAAGAAAATTTCAGGATACGTACCTAGCTAAGGGTACGATATGGACCATCAGGATGAGAGCGAATGAACTGAAACCCAAGGAAGCAAATTACAGGATACGTATCTAGCTAAGGGTACGATATGGACCATCAGAGGTCAAGCCCTAATCTTCAGGCAACATGTAGAAACAGAAGACGGGGTCTTGTGGTGCAAAGTCAGGAGAAGGATGAGCGCGAATGAACTGAAAGCCAAGGAACTCCAAGCAAATTTGAGGATACTTACGTAGCTAAAGGGTCAGATAGCAATTGTCAAAGGTCAAGGCCTATAATCTTCACAATGTGGAATGATCCCAACACAGACTACTTGCCCCCAGACTCGGGACCAAGACCAGTCGTCAGTACACCGGACTCACTACTAACGGCCTCGTTTGACACCACTTGAACTCAAGGGTCGGAAGGAAAGTTCTTCGTTCGACCCCCCACCCTAACCTGGCCGCGGAGTTGTTTCTTCTTTCCGGTACTCTACTGCTAGCCCTCAAAACTCAAGTGCCACCAGGGCAAATATGCACTTGAGCTCAAGGTGCCTCTCCCCGGAGCCTTCCTTGAGTTGAAGTGCCAGCGGCTACCACCAGCACTCCAAATGGCGCTTCTTTTCTTTTTCTTCTTTTTTTCCAAAAGGCTTTTTTTTTGTTTTTCTATTTTTCCAAAAGGCGATCCTGGTCCAGGATTGGTCAAGCAAGCAGTGGCGTTCGCTTTCGAGTGCGCGGTCGTTTCAAGTATTTTGTGAAGTGCACATGGAAGGAAGATTGCGGTAGGTATATTTCAATTGCGATTTTTGGGTTAGGGCGCACTCGAGTCTCTAGGGTTATCTAGTGGCGTCGAACTAGGCCCTAAGCATCCGGGTCAGTTCCTCCTAAAACAACCCAGGTAGCAAACCAAAAGGCAGACTAGGAGAGCAAGCAATGGAAATCCATTCTCCTCCCCCCACCTGTCTAAACAAACC